TGACCACTTTCACCCCATCCGTGCCACCCGAGGAGTTATTGGCTCTACTCTGTGTCTGGGTGACTAATTGGAGGATAAAGCCTCTGAGTAAGTCTCATGTTTAGGTCATTGCAAGATGGATCACGTCTCTTATAAAGACTGCTGTCAGCCCACTAGCTCTCATCGCCGCCGCGTCTATCCTGTTTTTATCTCTAAACCAACTTTATGACTTCTCACCCTAGCCTCTTGTGTGCCAACCCACAAATGTTGTAATACTACTTGCTTTGGCTAGGTTCAATGTTAAACCACAACGTTTGTGGGTTGGCACACAAGAGACTAGGGCATGGGAAGTCATAGACTTAGTATTGAGATAGAAACAGGATAGATGCGGCGGTAATAGTCACCAAGACACAGGGTAGGGCGAATAACGCCCTGGGTGGCACAGATGGGGTGGCAGGGGTCGAGTGAAATATGTGAACCAGGAAGAGGGTAGACGGATCTTACGGGGCAAGAGAGAGACTGTGGTAAGACCTAAGGAAGAAGGACTGCGTAACAATATGGCAGACTCTGATGAACATTCTTAGCACAAGGATGAAGGTCGGTGTGAAGGCCAGCGTGGAGTGCGGAGGGTTCTTATGAAAGCTGATCAAAAGGACACACTGTACCACATCTAATTAAGTAAGTAAAAAATTGTGTCATTGAAGGCGTGATAAGAGGATATAGGAAAGTGAATAGCCCATGACATTCAGTTTTATTCGAAATGAACTATCTTGTCCAGAGAAATGCAAATATAATTAATCCCTTCCAAAGTTCCGTGTATTTTTGATTTAATGTTAGCCTGAAACATTTGCAAAAATGAGTCCCAGCTCTGATGATGTTTGTCATGTGACAAACGAAAGCTCAGCTCATTTTCATCCTAAACGAGGCAGGATGTTTTGTGCCCTGAATAAAGCGGCGGCAGTACAACGAGAATCGGCTGTCATCTGGTGAGATCGACCTACGAATCTCTTCGGCATGCACTTTCATACGAAATGGAAGTCTCCAAAACACTGTTATCTAAGAAGATTAGTCGAAACACACTTTTTTCGTATCTAAAAATAATACAGCCACTAGTAACAAGGAAGTTAAACCAAAGGTGATCTCATGTACATTATAGGTGGCTTCCTTAGTATCATTTGGCCGGATTAACGGTATACTAGATAGATGTATCAATTTCAGGGATGCTAATCAAATGGCAGTCGATACTTACGATTTTAGGATGCGATAAGTCACAATTGTTTTAATCTTATATTACCTGAGCACTTCCAAGGCAATTTTATGTTGATATTCCATAAATATAATCCTTATAAAGTATTTCTTGTTCATTTAAATGACTTATTGATATAAGTCATTCAGATGTTCTTTATCACATATTTACCTAACTATAAATTTTTATTTATTATTATCGACTCCCACCCACCATGACTGTCATCATGTATCACTTATCTTTTGTACTTAAAATATCATATACTTGTTTTATCACATCTGCACTAGAGGTTTAACACTTGGTACACGTATATTATAATTTTAGGTCATGTGATTTGCTAAGCACTATTGGTCCCTTTTATTTTCCATTCGTTCTACTTTATTTGCTTTCATAGAAGATATTAGGATCAAGATGGTGTGGCCTTAGGTACGGTCGCGGTCTCCTTTATTTAAAAGTTGTTTTGCCTTGGTTTCGCAATTTGGTCATAATGGCAGGAAGACTTAGAGTCCATAGTATGCATGATAATTTCTAAAGTCGGACCGTGAACTTAGTGCATTCCCAGACGCTTCGCCGATATCGTCAGGTAGGATTGCCATTCTTAGCATTACACCTCAACCCATTAGAGACAAATGAAGTCGATCCTTTTACCAATTGTCTGTTCCGGTGTATTCGCTTATCCCCTATCCGTGTAACACCCCTTCATGATCACAATTCATTACTTGCTTACCTAAACCTAGTTGAGGTGTGCCCTTTTGGGCGTATTTAGTGAGACCTATTCATGCTCCCCGCTGGTTCCCGCATGCCCCTCACTGTGTTGGGAGTGTTGACTCAAGACTTCATTTTTGTCCCCAATTCTCTTCCTCCAGGTCTTATCAGAGTCTTACTCTTACTCCATAGGATCGTTCTCTTATCTGCCTTGTTCAGTGATTTCACTCTATCGTTTCCACCTTATTCGTGCTATTCTGGCTTTATGTTCTACACTCTGCGTCAAACCTTTGATCGAATTTATCCGCCAGCCTCACTGAGCAAGCCCCTAATCTGAATTCTTAAGCAGGATGGAAACCTAATTTGACGCTGCAGATTTTCTCATCACTGTGCGGCGTGTGCACCGAGTAAATCTCGTGGTCAAGCCTTTAATTCACGGATCACGTCTATGTTCAAACTCGACTACTAATAATCAACTATGTTTTCCGCACATCTCTCTTATCTAATGCCCTAATTTCTTGTGTGCCGAATCCATAATGTTATAATTAAACTTACTTTGATTGGGCTCACCGTAAACGTCTCTTTTTGCTTTCCTATTGTTCCTCTTGGATCTACTTGAGATTTTTTCCTCTAATTGAAAATATTTCCTTGATCCGTTCGTCTTTTTTCTGATCTTGCTGTTCCCTGATCGCCTCTGAGTTTGCCCAGACAATATGAAAAGTGTTAACTAATCCTGCCTTCCTGAAGTCATTTGTCAATTCGATTTCTTTTAGCCGGGATATCGATGGCTTCCCGTTTATTTTGTTTTTTGTATTTTACTAAATGTAGTCTGCTTTTCTGTCCATTTCCAGTCGGCTTCGTGTCACGTCCCCGCAATGTATTCAGGCACTTCGCACCTGTCCTTATATCTATGATTCTACAGGGTCTTTGGTGTTTCTTAATTCATAGACTGATTTCCTTTCGATCACAGTTACCGCATCTTATGTTGATAAATTCCCGAGCAATCCGTCTTGTCAACCTTCTTCTCTTCCGTCCAAAGTGTTTTATTTTCCCTTGTTTTATTACTTTGATATTCCATTTTTTTACTAACGGTCGAAATTTTCGACCCGGTGTACAGGAGTTCAGGCATATCCATTTGACAATTTGCCAAAGGGTTGACTTCATTTGTTTTCGACGAGTTGTGGTGTGCCAGGAATGGCAAAACTCGCTGATGATGTCCATTACGATGACGGCGAAGCTAATGGGAATATACCAAGTCCATCTGATTCTATAAATTATGCATACTATGGAATTTGGACAAGGTTTTTCCTATCAAACATCTTTTATTTACTTGAGCTTAACCGATTTCTTTTTCACAGCCTACATTCTATCATCCAGTTTCCTTTTTTTCATAGTTTTATCATAATGTAACTTTTCTATTTCCCCAATTACAGTTCAAGCATCCTCTACCCAATAAATCGTCAATGCACTTACGTTCACTTGGTGAGTTCTAATCTTGCTTTGATCTTTGACTTTTTTTTAAATATCTTTATTTTTACTTAAGCATCCTTTATGCATGATTGCTTGTATTTACTCTCACCCTCTATCTATCTCCATACTTACCAGTGGTTTACCACGCTTTTAAACATCCACATCTATTATTTAGGCGATGATGCCTCATCTCATTCCTGTATTATCAATTATTCAGGCCTTTGCATATGCATACTGAATGAGATTGGGTTAATTTATTGTTGTGACTGTTTATAGACTTTTCCTGTTTCCAGTTAATTATTGCTCTTTCTTTTCTCTGTTTTTTTTCCTATTTTTATTTTTTTCCTTTGTATTCATTGCTTTTTGTAATTTGTAGTTTCTTGTCCTAATTTTGTATAAGTACGAAGACACTAGTTCCGATGTGT